GTTCTTATTAAAATAATCTTCAAGCCTTAAAGTGATTGTCTGGAGTTTGTCAGAAAGAGAGACAGAGAGGTACTTGATTTGAAAAAAACGACGCAAGCTCCCTCCCCCTTCCTTTCTGATTGGTCTACACCTACGTTTCCGTAACACTTTGAAATGTTAATCAGAGAACATATTATACATATACATTATTAATACACATGCACGGAGGTTTTCAGAATTATTTGTGAACGTTTTAATGAAAAAAATTATGTTTTTATGCACAAAAAAAGCGATCGCGGAAAACCAGGAAGTGCTATTCTCATGAATTGCACATTATAGGACACATCTGCAGAGGATCTGATTATGGATATAGGTTCAGAATATACATAAGTACCTCAGCGCGGATGATCAGAATTCTTTGTTCAGTTTTCATGTTGTTCCAGAGCCTAATAGAGGCTTGATTCGGAGGCTCCGCGAAAACAAACAACTGCGCATGCGCGCAGCTGGGAGCATCAGCGCCGATGATTGACAGCCCTTGGCATGACTCGATTGGTTAACCTCGACGGCACCGTGGATTCTGAACTATAGCTAAGAGCAGGGAAGGCGGGACTTGCCCGTAATATTAGAATTAATAAAATGACTTATTTTATATCAACATTTAAGGCCAGGAGGTCAATTTAGCACATTTCCTAAAATTTGTAATTAATTTAGAGTTACAGACTATTACTTTAAACAAAAGAAAACAAAAGTATCGGTTTACATTTTGACATGTATCATTGATGGACGTTGGTCATCCCCGTATGGACCGATGGATCCTCTGTGTTTGTTATTATTGAAGATCCTGTGTTCAGACTGTTTGATTCTCTAATCTGTGCTGGAAAACTGACTACTGTTTTGTTTTAGGGCTGCACAAAAATGAATTGAATTGAAAAACAACTTATCGTAAACGCCTAAGTACAAGTGATGATTTTAGCAGCAGAACAAACGTATAATCAGGAAGCTGCAGATTAATACAACGTTTTGAAGACAAATCCTCTTGGTTAAAAAAATAGAAAACTGAAGAACTTTCTGGGTTCTTCGACTTTTCCTGAGTCATTTTGAGAGGAGACATTTTGCGCAGACCTGTGGCAAGGAGAGGAGAGCGCTCTCAGAAGGTAATTTCACGAAGCCCCTCGCTCTCTTTCTGTACGGCGCGGATAAAGACCGGCTTCTGAAGTGTTCACGCTTCAAGCTAAATGACCACAAACACTATTTTTTCTCATTTCTATTCTCCATAATGAAGTCTGGCCTGGACGTGGCCCGGGGCATGTGGGACACTAAACAGAGGAGGCAGGAGAGGGAGAGGCCGAGGAAATGAAAGCAACATGAAATCATGGGGGAGATTGATTAACTGGCACTGATTAAGTGCTTTAAGTATTAGGTAGATAAAGCCATTGATTATTCAATAAATCTCTGTCAGGCTTTGAATAATAGGAGCCAGAGAGAGGAGGCAACACATGTGCAGGGGCCATCCACACTCCAGGAACATGAGTGCATAAGATTTTAATACACCGACCTCTTTCACAGAACACAATATTGGTCAAATTGGTCAAAAGTCAAAATGTCCAGGACTGAAAAGACAAGCCAACGTGACAGCAAGATTGACACGTTATTTTGTATGAATTAATTGAGAGATAGTATTTTATTTTTGTGTGTCTTTTGTGTTATATGGACTCTTTGTGGGTCTGAATTATAGATTAAATAAAAACAGTAAAAAAATATAGTTTATTGATCCCTGTGGAAGAAATGATGATGATAATGAGAGATGTCCAGTAGCAGCAGAAACACATCCATACACTGCAAAAAGTTATGTAAAGTAAGAAAAAAAAAGCTCATAATATTAAAACAAGATTCTCCAATGGGACACAATGGGACAGAAATATCTAAAGAAAATAAAGCAATAGTTCTTGAATTAAAACTGAATTAAATCAAAATGAAACAAAAACAGTCAATTAGACAGTTTTGACCTGATATTTCATCATTTTTTGCAGTGTACAAACAGATAAGTACATGAATTATAAACGTTTCTAACTAGCTAACAATAGTGCACATCCGAGTATTACATTCTGCCTTTCATGCTATATAAACTTGTCAAATATAAACTTCCAACAGACCAGATGATATTTACTAATTCAGATGTGACTCTGTATAATGTCCTCAATCCCTTTTAGCTTTTAGATTTGCTTCTGTTTCACCAAACTCTCACACAAACTCGCCTGTACATAATGGCATGTGTGTATATATTGTGTGTATATTGTGTATATATTGTGTATAGTTTGATGTGCGGTAGCGACACTGTGCACGACTGATTTTGAGTTATTGATCAAAGACTGAAGATCCAAAACTCATTAACAAACACACTGTTTTATATTATCAATGCATCTTTCGTTCAATGCTCATTTGGACATTGCTTTTCATTAAAAAAGCCTCTTTTAAATTATGACGAACGAACTAAAACTAATGTGATTTCTCTCGCATTAGTGCACTTTGTGGCGGTTTTCAACACGATCTGACACAAAACAAGAAATTGTTTGTGCTTCTTGCTTTGTATTTTGCAAACAAATTGTATACAGCCTCTCTTTTATCCCTCTCCTACTCCAGCACTTTCATCTTTACGCCATTATCAACTGAACGGTTCCTGGATGAGACGAGAGGCTGCAAAACATCGTACAGAGAGGGAAAAAAAAATAACACAACATGACAAAAGGCGGCCGGTGGAAGACTGAGAGTGTGGCGCAGCGTGTGAAGCACAAATACAGAAGGCTAGTGGCTCTCTTTTATTCCTTCCAACAAATAAAACTGAAACACCATCTGGCCTCAAGTTCCAAGCACAGAACTGAAAAAAAAAAAAAAAAAATCAATGCCGACGTCTCTCTACCTTGGATGCCCAGCGTTGCCCAGATGGTGCAGTGCATTCATGGGACCACCTAGGACCAGAGCGAGAACGCACCACCGCCACCACCCACCTCCAATGGTTTATGTATAAATATATTTTTTACTACTCCAGCCCTCTGTTGGAGCATTCGACACCACGATCATCAGATTACATGAGCAAAATCTAGACAATCCCGGCTGCAAAAATCGTTGCCTTTCCTAAAAATACTCCCAAGCATCTGCTCACTGAGAATAGGCTGCAGCTCCAATGTTGAAAGACATTTTCAGGGATGCGCAAATAGATTTTTTTTGGTATTATGGAAGACGTATACTATTCTTTCTCTCGTGCAACGATGGAGCAATGTTACACCACACATTTTTAAAAACAGTATATTTGATTAGTTCAGCTTGAGAGCTCTTACGGATGAAATTAAACTTGTGATGTAACAAATAGGCTCAAAAGGTGATCTGTGTTAAAAGAAAAAAAACTTGTAAAAAGCCTACCCTGGGTCTTCATGGACGCACAAAAACGTTATCAATTGACAGTGATATGTGGGAGCGGTTTGAAAGGTGTTGCTTTGCTCTAAGATTAATGCCCTCTGCAGAAGCATTGCCATAGTCCCCGCGCTGCAATGTCAGGGAAGGCATGGCTCCTCGGAGAGAGACAGTCAATCACAGAGACGGCGAGGCCTGCGTGACATCTGCATTCGACCAAACACGCTGCTGATGTACAACTTTTATTACTACGTCTGCAATACGTGCTCTGGTAAGGTCACGTGACACCAACAGCATTTATACGCACATGATTAAAAACGTATGCATTCACGCGCTGTATAGAGTTTGACGTATATGTATGCAAGTGGCTGGACATTTTACGCACGTCCATGTCTACGTAGGAGTTTTTCAAGCGGTTGCCCCATTCATACACAACACACCACTTAGCATTCAGTGGCCGTGGAAGACAAAAAGCCCGGTGCCATTAAGACGCGCTCCTCGCTCCTCGGCTTTACGCGCTGTGTTAATGTGGGCCAATGCCATTTTGAGTAATTGTCCAGGATGGCGCTCAGCCAAATGTCAAAACCGATTTCTCCTGTGACAAAAAGCTGTATTGATCTTAATTCTGTTCAGGCTGCTTGTCGGCGCGTAATGCTCCTTCTCTACATCCAGATGACAATTCTCACATTGAAGAGGGAGACGCGACAACCAGCCTGATATGCTTCACTTCTGAGAAAACTTCGCAGTGTTGTATCCAGTGTGTTCGTGTAATGTGTGCGTGTGTGTGGCTGTGCGTGTGTGTGCTTGAATGCCACTGAAATGACCTGAAGCTTCACAATAGCAAACACTGTCAGAAATTCGTGTTTTACAGCTATAAATAAGAATCATAGCAGCTATCTATTATGTATATTGTGTGTGCTCCCTGTGCCCCTGTACTGCCCTGTGTGTGTGCTGCAACATTGACATTTCCCCACAATGAAGGCTCTCTTATATTATTTTATCTTCATATCTATACCATTAAAGTAATACATGTCACGTATGATTTTATCCGTGTATATATGTGCATAGAGAAGGAAGAAGGGAGACATCCATAGAGGTCACACTAACCCAATTTACAGCATGCATTTGAAATCCAGGCAAGCATTTTTTATTTGGCATCGCTCTCCTGTTGCTGCTGCAAATAACTGCACCGATAACCCGTGTGCAAAGGGCAAAGGGAAAGAAAGGGGCAGCAAAGGGGCTTGTGCTCAAATCAAGCGCAACTTTTTCGGGTTTAAAGACAAAAACAAATAGATGGGAGCGACACAAACTCACCTATTCGGATGACATGAGGCATCCCGTTTGAGTAGTGAATCCACAAGAGACACGCCACCAGAGACGTCCAGTATTCCCAAATCCGCTCCCGGGGAGACAGCCAAGTATTTCGCATGGTTGGAAAGTCGCTGGATCCACTTTTTTTGTGAAATTCCAAAGACAGGCTCAGCTCATCAAAACTGAAGAGGACGAACCATGTGTTGACTGAAGCGCATGCGACAAACTCATTTTACAATCTGCAACATTCTCCCAGATTTCCGTTGTGGCTTTTTTATTTTGGTGACAGTGGTTGGTGGAGGATGAAGTCCCAGCTCCACGCGCGCAGATCTGTGGCACACCTGCGGTCGCGGCTGCTTCAGGAGTCAGTCTCCTCTCCTACAGACCGACACAGTGCGATGTGTCGAGAGCGAGAAGATGCAAAGGGAACAAGGGCAATGCGCCTGCGGAACTTTGGGCAGCCTCCACGCAGTAACGGGCAAACGAACAAGTGGACCGCCTGGGGACTTCACTCTGTTATCCAAAAAACAAAAACGATGTTAAAACCACATAGTCCTTTGGAATGTGACAGAGGTGAATAATTCTTGAAGCGACTCCAATTACGCGCGGTAGGATGGAGAGATGTCCTGAGATAGCCGGTCCCAAAAGCTCCTTTGTTGCGCTATAATGTCCTTGTGCTCGCGCTCGGAGGGAGCGTGGTGCTTGTGCGTGAGTCTGAGGACCCTCCTTCCTTCCCCGGTGCCACTAGAGGCACGCGTCGTTACGCGTAGTTGCCAACTTCGTGCAATGAGTGTTTTGTGGCAGTGATAGTGATCCCTGTGATGGCGTAAGTCTTTTTGTTTACGCTGTCCCTACAGACGCATCCGTGCTCTCTGCTGGTTTATTTTAAGCGCAGAGCTCTCTCCTCTGGTTTAGACCTATGTGCAAACCGCCATATGGTATCCGTGGATTTGAGGGCATTTACAAAACAGCTCTTTTTGGACATTAGAGCTGTCGTGTTATCTTGTCCCTTGCCTTTTACGCACGGCGTGGTGTTGGTTCAGTGGTGTGAGCGGAGAGGGGAGCTCGCGTCTCCTCAGACTCAGAGGAGAGCTCCAGGTGCTCCGTCACATACTTTCACACTTTATCACAACAATCTTTTTATGTTTTAGAGTCCAGCATCAGAAAATACGATTTTACTGAAAGGTTAAAAAAGATAAATAACGACTGTACAGTGTTGTTTGTTTAAGTTGTCTATTTACACAAGAGCCTAAATATGTAGGAAATAAAAATGTATAAAGTGTAATGGTAAAGAAATGTGCATGGGACAGACATGTTTTGTGCTATATGCTTTAAATTGGTATTAGCTGCATCAGCAGAAACAGTCTTTCCTCATATTCTTACACTATGTTTTAACATGTACACATTACAATAGCATTAGTCTCCCCCTCCCCTGTACCCTTTGCTTTTGCACACCCTTTAGTTGTCTCTGTCAAGCTTGTATGTCTGTGTAAGATTGCTAGAACTTGTCCTCACACTTGTTTTGTAACCAATTATGTGTTTTTTTCTGTTGGTTTACATGTATGTATGAATGTTTGCATGTTAGTATTAATATATGCTTAATGTATGCTTTTGTTTGCTAATAAAAACAATGGATTAACTGTATTTGGCGCTTTTATTTTGACACGACATATTACAGTTTACATTTAGCTACATATCATGACCAAAGTTTTCTCATTAGTGATTTCCACAGATACAAATCCAGGAAGGGTGAATACAAAGGTGAAAGACTAAATGAACAGGGCCAGTCAAGCTGTACCTAAACATTGTTAACATTTCCTCATCAAACCTCAACAAGTTTTTGCAACTGTTGTTATATTAGCTTCACAGGAGGTTGAAACATGTCTATGGACAATTATACCTCTATTTTTACACATTTCAAACTTAATCCTTTAGGAAAGAAACATTGGTGAAACTATCTCGCATTATTGTGATCAGCCTCTGAGATAAAAGCGCATTATGAATTTTGCAATTATCCCAGATCTGGCTCAGTTGGTGATATAAAGCCATTGATGAGATGGTGCTGCGGCTCATTGGTTTTATTTTTCTGTTTGGTATCAAGGGGCGAGGGCTGAGGAGTGCATCTGAGAGGGAGGGGACAGGCAGGAACAAGCCAGACCAGCCGCACTGCATATTCATGTCTCCCCCTAGCAGATTTATAGCCCTTTGGCACAATGTAAGGACTATCAACGTGAGTTATGTGGCCGGGCGCTCGCATTATCGAGATTCATTGACTTGCTGCTCTTTCAAATACAAAATGTACACAGTACCAGCAAACAAGACATTCTGGGAGTGTGGCTGCCCTCTGTGGAGAGAGGCTGTCTGTGCTCATCCTCACCTGTTCCTCACTCAGGCAGACACTGAGCCTGATGGTCCTATAGGGCAGGGATGTCAAACGGGTTCCAGAGAGGGCCGGTGTGGCTGCAGGTTTTTGTTCCAACCTGAGAAGGAGCAAAGACTCCCCCCATTTCTTCAGGTGAGTCCAGTTTTAAACATAGAGTGAAAAATCTGAATGGTACTTGTCACTCCCGTATTCGTCCCGGAAACCGGATTCGTCCGGAAGTTCAGTTTGCGCATGTCAAAAAGTTTAATATGTCCTTAAGTGGAGACTGGTTAAGTTTAGGCGTCTGATTAAGATGGTTATGTTTAGGGTTAAGGCTGGGTTTGGGTTATTTTATGGGAATGGCTGGTTAAGTTTAGGCATGAATAGGTAGTTTTTTATATTTACTGCCGCTTCCGTCCAGATTCCGTGACGTAATCTACTGCTGCGTATGCTCATTGGATCAAACTGAACTTCCGGACGAATCCGGTTTCCGGGACGAATACGGGAGTGACAGTACTTACGAATATCTCCGCCATTGAAACTAATGTGCCACCCCTTTTGCCTTCCGTGGGTGTATTCAAAATGGCCGCCGGCACTAGCCCCATTAATTTAACGAGTGCATTCAAAAGTCCAAAGCGGCTGAACTAGACTGGTCCAAAAAATATATATACTCCCCTCAGCTTCGACAGCATCTGGAACGTGGCTTTGGGGCCAAGAGCGACTTTTGGACCATCCTGTAAAAGCCATTTTTGAGATGAAAGAAGACGCCATACAAAAGCATTGAATAATTCTCTTTCCGGGTACACCCCCACCGCCAAGGAGTGAGATTGCAGCATGTCAGCACACGTGCTCATGGACCTTTTGGAACCGGGACCCGCCCACACTGATTTAAACATAATCAACCCTAATTGAAGATGACAGCTGTATAGTTCCAACCCATTTCCTCACTTGGCTCATGTCTGGATGTGTATGTAGAGTATGTGTCTGCTAATATTGAGTTACACCATTCAAGAAAAATAAATTTCAATAATGCGAGGATTCATATTGTAGAGAAATGTAATCAATTTCCACAAAAAAGTTCATGTTCAGTTTGAGTGTGGTCTTGAGTGTTGCGGGGGCGTTGTAAACATTGAACACTTTTTCACAACACACCTAAAAAACAACCGATTCCAACAATGTGAGATGTTGTACCTTCACCACACTGATCCATCTTTGTGCAGAATTATTTTGCAAAACAAAAAAAGAATACCAAAAACAAGAATTGCACAACATTTACAGCATTGATTCTTTTTCTTCTAAAAAAAATAAAAAACCATACAGCCACCAGACCAAGCACAAAGGAGACAATCGAATTTCTCACTTTTACAATGGGTCAATAGGAACTCATCACACAGTTTAAAACCCTGATAGAAATGTCTGTTTGAGGATTAAAAACCCGTTTAATCGTCAAAGTTAAGTTGAGAAAATTATGGTTTTGTCAAAAAAAGGCCAACTTTGAAAAACTGCGTGAGGGTGGAATCGATCAGGCGCTGGATGGAGAGTTTGGAAGCAATAGTCTGCCTTTTTGTATCGGCCTCTTTTGTTGTGATCACAAAAAGACACATGAGGATTCCAGCGGCAGGAGAGCGTCTTTATAAGGGCCTTTTGTGTGATTTACAATGAAGCAATTTCATACCAGGGCGCACGGTCAACTGCTCTGGTTATCCGCGGTGCACATAGTGAGAAATACAAGTTGTTGGTTTGTATGACGGTGACTCATACAGAAGCACCAATCAGAGAACAGAAAGAGCAGCACGTTGGTGAAATCCTGCTGGTTTAGTCTTTGCCAAAACCCCAGCAGTGTGTTTAATGAACTGCTACTGCTGTAAATGTTGTAAAATGTTGTAAAGGATGCCGTCCTTTGGAAAAGCATCTTTGATTTTCCAAAAAAACACTATGTAAGAGCAATGCTTTATCATTATATTTATTAAAATGCAGTTTTCCTGTAGTCCCATTGTACAGTGTTATGTTTTAGTAGGTGAAACTGGAGCACCCTTTGGACACAGGCACAGGGAGAAAGTCAGTGCCCCAGGGCAGCTGTGGCTACAGTAGTAGTTTATGAGTTTGTAGAATAAAGACATGTGAAGCGTCTTTGAGGGTCTAAAAAGTGCTCTACAAAACCAATGCATTATTAGTTTTATAAATATAAAGTACAAACCTGAACAGCTCTAACCACCACAACAGAGGAGCACAGTCCTCTTGACCACATCCGGCCACTCACTGCAGGATTCTGTCACTTCACAGACTCTCAAATACTTAAGTAGTTATTAGTTAAGTAAAACTTGTGATTCAACCCATATAGTATATACAACATCAGGAAAGTTTATTTGTACAGCACAGTTCATACACAAGGCAACTCAAAGTGCTGAACAAAACAAGATAGAAACATCACACAAGGCTTTAAAATCAAAAATATTCACAATACATTAAAACAAGTGACAAGACAATCCTTCAGTTGTATGCTCAGCTAAGCTAAACAGATCCGTTTAGCAGAGTAGCCCGTCCCACATTTTCAGGAAGAGGGTTCCAGATACAGTCCTATACATAATATAGTGGTTCATAGAAATAACCAAGACATCTTGTCAGTGAAAATGCTATCTATTTTATTTAGTGGGGGAGGGATATCAGACTCAAATAAAACATATTGTTATGACTTCCCCCGCTATATGGCTGGGTACAGTATATATCCACTTGTCTCTTAGAGCATTTGACGACAGATAATTATACGTCGATCCCACAGCCATCACCTCCACCACCCCACAGTAGCGCGCTGCCACATTGAGCTCTCCCGCCTCACATCGGGGTTAATTTAAGAGCCACATGCCGACAAGCTTATGAAGAATCGCCTCAATCCTGGCTCTGATTGCAGCGCTCACTGTAGCTTTCGGCCGGCCCGCGCTCCAGAGTTAGCTGCTGCTACTCCAGATGTATGCACTGCTGTCGTTGACGTATTCGGCCAATCACAAGCCCTGATCAGTCATCCAGACAGACGGTGAGATGGAAAATGACTGCTGGCGGCGGGCTACAGCCACTGGTTATAAATGAGAAAGCCACAGAGTAATAATAGATTCCAGGCTGACCTGATTTATCTATTGAGTTATTAGTGTTATCATCCCTATAAGCAAAAATCATCCATCTTCAGTAAGTATAGAATGACACTTACAAATGGTAAAGCAAATACTCTTTCAACCCTGATTCAAAAGGTGAAAGCTTTTTAAATGTATTGTGATTTAAAGCATCGTGCAATGATGTGCTATATTATAAAGCAATGTATTCACAACAGTTTACATTATTGAATATCGCTGAGGACCTCATGCAGAGAAGGTCAAGTGCTGTGTCAAAACTCAATTCTTGGGTCTGGGTCATCATGGAAGTTGAGGTACCATGAATAGAAACATGGATTCAGATAAACCTTTTGGAGACCCATTTTTATGCCATATGCTTGATACATGACAACGTTTACAGTTGGGTTCTTGTGTTTTTGTGCTCTGCCTCCCCCCTCTCTTTCTGTTTTTTAAAGGTTTGGGAATGACGGGGCGTGTGGATAGATCATCTGCTATGAGATCATGTTCTTTCGTCATCTTATCATTAAAACACTGGTCCCTCGTCACCCTATATTTAAAGCACTTGTCACTTAACACCCTGTCTTCAAAACACGGGTCCCTCGTCACCCTATATTTAAAACACTGGTCCCTCGTCACCCTATATATAAAACACTAGTCCCTCGTTACCCTGTATTTAAAACACTGGTCCCTTGTCACACTATATTTAAACACACTGGTCCCTTGTCACACTATATTTAAAACACTGGTCCCTTGTCACCCTATATTTAAAACACTGGTCCCTCGTCACCCTATATTTAAAACACTGGTCCCTCGTCACCCTATATTTAAAACACTGGTCCCTCATCACCCTATATTTAAAACCCTTGTCCCTCATCACCCTATATTTAAAACCCTTGTCCCTCATCACCCTATATTTAAAACCCTTGTCCGTCGTCACCCTATATTTAAAACCCTTGTCCCTCGTCACCCTATATTTAAAACACTGGTCCCTCATCACCCTATATTTAAAACCCTTGTCCCTCGTCACCTTATATTTAAAACCCTTGTCCCTCATCACCCTATATTTAAAACCCTTGTCCCTCGTCACCCTATATTTAAAAATTGGTTCAGACTCAACTTCTTGGCCGTATTATTCCATTTTGCAAGATACTGAATGACTTTGGCTTGTGATTTCTTTGTCTAACAAATCCTGTTTATTTTTTACTCACCATTTTTGCCCCGTGCCCAGGTCTGAACAACAAACCCGTCGCCAGCTCTCTGTCTCCAAAGCCTATTTATTCATATTTTTAAGCAACCAATTCAGTATCTGCTACTTGTAAAGATCAGTCACTACTTTCGGTTACTTGAGCAGATGTTTTGTCATTCATCTGTACTTTTATCAAAGTATCCCCGCTTGGCTGACTTCCGAGAGCGCAGTTCTGGCTTTAAAACATGTCTATGGATTATTTATCTAGCATTAGGGTAAAAAAACAATTAGAAAACCAACAGAAGAACCTTATAGAAGCAGTATTTACCCCACAACAGAAGCTCCATGACTCCTCGAGGCATTTGCTCGTCATAAACACGTTTTTTAATAGACCAGTTTAAGAATGGTATGAGAAAACTATGGTAAAAATGGTCATATTATTCAAAAACCAAATGAGTGAGAAAGATGTCGAGGTCAAGAAGCTGCAGGTTGAAATTGCGGTGAAAAGCGCAATCAAGAGTGATTAATATTGTTCACAAACTCCCTGATTATACTGTATGTGCTGCTGTGCTCCCTGCTGCCCTGATCTGCCTCTGCCAGCAGCACACACACGCCACATTCTGCAAATTAGAGAGACACTGAAATGGCTTTGTCTATTTCCACATTTAAGCTAAATTCAATTCAATTCAATACTATTTATTTTTCGTATATAGTCCTAAATGTGACAGGACTACAATAGTTTGAAATGTAATTGTAGCATGTGCTGTTTTGGCATGTCCACAAATATAATGAATAGATAAATACTGTACATTACAACAGTAGGTATCTTGCAGGACTGTCTTAGAAGCCGCCAAGTCGCCAACACAGATTAGAGAATCAAACGGTTCAAAGACAGGAACTACAATGAAGGAAAAAAACACATAAGAGGCAGATGATAAATGTCAATATACTCTATGTTGATAAAGTCCATAAATGTCGAAGATTGTCAGGTGTACCGGATGTTCACCACTGTCCTGAGAGCTTCCTGCATCAGCAATCATGAAGATGTTTCAAGATGGAAGTCAAAATCTATGAGGCCGTGATGGAGGACAGAACCCTCACACACTGGATGAATGTTTCAGAATCTTCATGATCTAAATTGTTGACGCTGGTTGCTTTTTATTTGCTATTCACCCTCTGTCCCTTTGTCTGTTTCATGGCGTGAAGATGGGACCCCCTTAAACTGGCCTCTTTCATCGGCACCTGTGATCTGGTCTCCCCCGGCCCCCCTCTCCACCTGCAAGCCGTCTCAGTCCTGGGTCTACAGTCCTGGATCTAGAGCTTCAGTCCTGGATCTACAGCCTCAGTCCTGGATCTAGAGCCTCAGTCCTGGATCTAGAGCCTCAGTCCTGGATCTAGAGCCTCAGTCCTGGATCTACAGCCTCAGTCCTGAAATTTACAGCCTGTTCGTCCGGCAGAATGGATCCCTCTCTCAATGTGGCCTCCTCAAGGTTTCACACTTTTCCACCCTGCGCTTTTGAGTTGTGATGCAGGAGGGTGTGTGTCAAAGTGTATTATATAGAATTCAAACAACCACAAACAAGCATTTCTAATCTTCTCACATAATTTTTTTTTCACTTTAATTTGACCAAATAGGGGATATTGGACCACCACCACCACATACAAAATCACAAGGCACACCAACGTTCCACAGCACACTGGTTGAAAAACACTGGTCTAAGGACAGTGATAATCCGGGACATTGAATGAAATTTATTGACATTTATTAACATTTTTGGACATTGGTCCCTACCCTTTTGGATCAATGACTCTTTTTGTTATTATTAAATTTCTGTGTTCAAACTTTATTGTGGAATCGACAACTTTATGATATGAAGCCTTAAGCGGAAATTCAGAGTGGAAGACCTGAGAACACAGCTCTGAGCGCTCAGTTCTCCTGCTGTTGCCCACAGCAACAGCAATCAGTCAATCACACTCAGCCTTGCGCAAATCCTCACCTGCAGCAATCAGGCACTGCCCGCATCAGCTTCACATCACGCAGAAGCTCCATCCAAGCAGCAGCTTCATTCATGACCCTCCTCCTCCCCATCTCCGACTTGTTCTAGGCCTGCTCCTTCATCCTTCTCTTAGCTACGGGTCTAGGCCCCGGGGGATTTCATCTCATAATCTCGTTCCCTTTCTGAAATCGTGCAGTGCTCTGCTGGGGTCTCGGTACCAGATCCGCATCTGCTTCTTGGCCGCCCTAGGCACGACCTTACCGAACCGCTCGGCACCCCAGACACCGGCCCCGGTAACCTCAGTAGACCGCTGCTGTTCGAAGGCGAGATCCAGTCTCCCAGCCCCGCTCCTTGCCGCTGTACGCTTTTCAAGCCGCGCACAGATGAGTACAGCCCCGTCAGTCCGCTCTATGCTCCCCGTGTGCACGAGCCTTCCTTCACGCCCAGTGGAGCCAGGTCGCGTTGGTATCACGCACACAGTGCGTTGACTGACAGTCCTCACAGTACTCACTGCAACTCTCTCAAAAACGTGAGTTTTACGCCTTATTCTCCAAAGACGAGAACAGTTTTTTTACAATATGTGGTGGCACTTTGACGCTGGAGATGACGCGTGTTTAGTGTTACTTGAAATAAAGTAATAAAATAATGAACTGTGAAACTCTTGTGTCAAGTTGGAATGTCCATCCATTTAATAATAAACTTATAGAACAGAATAACAAAAAACAAAATGACTGAACTTAAATCATTAACAGCAACACATGTAGCACGGTAAAAAAACTGTGTCCTCAGCACCACACCTGTACCGTGATTGTGGCTTCTTCTTAATACTGAAAGCAGAGAACCCTCCCAGAGCGCCCTCTGCTGTATTTGCTCCACCACGTGTAATTCATTCAATGTCAGATTACCTGCCAATCAACAAAAAATTCTAATACTATGTTTTGCCTGTTCGAGTCTCTCCAGATTGAATTAGGCATATACAAATATAATAGAATTGAATATTATACAGAACAAAAAAACAATGCATGTTATTTTCCTGGCTGTTCACACCAATGATTGACTTCTTGTGTGAAAAGACTTGACAATGTTGCGAGATCTCATGATTGTGTTTTTTTTCTTTTCTTTCTGAACCTAAAGTTCCCAAATTGTTTTTAGAGCTTTAGTTTGCCATCCTCCAGACAGTAAACAAAATTGAATTCTGGCATGGGATTGTTTTTAAAGAGCACACTTTGTTTTGGTGGTTATCTCCTCTCCACCCTCTCGTACCTTGAGCAGACAGTCTGTTGGTGAAAGTCCAGAATCCAAGCCGCTTTTCGTCACAAAGCACAAACCGAGCAAAGCTTTGTTGTTGTTTACTACATATTTGCCCATCATTAGGCTTGGCTAGGCTGGCTGCTTGCTCTCTTTTTACATTAATTAAAACAAATATACTGTAAGGACTGCCCATGTGGCCTCCAGCCAGGATTTTGAAGCAAGACTCAATTAACCTCGACGACCCTGTCTAAGGCAAACAATGAGAAATTAATTATATGCAGCATCCAGCACAGACATGCTTAGTGGCCCCAAACTACATTATAAATGGTTTTGTCGTGCATTTCCACCTTGTTTTTGTTGGCAAAAAAAAATCAATGGGGCATTAAAAATCTGCAGCAGCATAAATACGGAATGATGAAAGCGTATTTCTTGGCACAGGTCTTTTAGTTGTTCAGATTTAAGAAGGGGTTTGTGTATGATTATCTCCAAGCAGCAACGGCCTTGATTTAGCATTAATATATTGGACGGACAAGCTACGACGGCGGGGGAAGGTAGTTATTAAGTGTTTGCATGTCTTTCTTCAAATTAGGAAGATTTGAAAGTCTGTGAGTTGTCATTTATCTTAAAAAAAAAAGCTAATCTCTGATGAGAGGCATTTAGTATTTAGCCTAGCTTTAGCCATCTCCTTTGCCACTAACAGAGCCCGTGGGGAGTAGAGCCACAACATTTTTGCAGCAATGACATTTACTAAACATTCTTTTTGCTCTGGCTTCAATTTCTTGATATTTGGAGCCGAACCAGAACGGATTACTTTACTATCGCATTCTCCGCCAATCTACAACCAGAACATTTGGAGAAAACTCTAGACGTCACCGACCTACAACACCCGCCTCCCCCGCTCTCTGATTGGTCGGAGGGGATTCAACCGAAGAAACTGCAGCCACTAGGATCACCCCCCCCAGACGTACATGTAGGAGATGATCATGGACCAGAGTTTACACATGGTAAGACCAGATGTACATGTAGGAAATGATCATGGACCAGAGTTTACACATGGTAAGACCAGACGTACATGTAGGAAATGATCATGGACCAGAGTTTACACATGGATAAGACCAGACTAATACTGTTAGGGTTAGGGATTCAATCAGAATAAACAAAAGTAATACACTAGTGAAATTTCAGAACATAATTATCAGATTAATGAAATATGTAATAATAATTAGCACATACAAGGTACACAAAAATACAATGGCAACAACACCAAGAGACAAGGTTAAACATAGACAATGTATCCTTTACATGCTTTAGCGTAGCATGTTAAGGCCCACGAGTTTGGAATGAGCTGGAAAATTACATAATATCCACTGTATCCATGATCATGTTTAAAAATAAAATACAAAAATATCAAACTTCTTGGGAATAATAACAGTCTGATGTCTAAATAGATATTTTCTTGTAGCAATATGCACTGTCGCTAAATGTGCCCTAATGCATTTGACATATTTACTCTAATAAAAGTATGATATCTGCAGTTTTAAAAATGTATAGGTAGATTAGTTGGTAGATAGGCAGGTAAGTTGATGGTAAATAGGAATAATCGTGAATGGTTTTTATATTTTAGTGCTGTGTTATGTCTTGGACCGCATACATGAGCCAAACATTGCTTCCCATTTACAAATATACAACGTCACTAATTATGATCTGAGGCTACATGCTTTTATTTTTTATTTGTAATCAACTGAACTGAATGTTAGCCTTATTTGATCACGCACGTTTTATCTACAAACTTGCCACACATGCACTTATACCCAACCTTTAATTTGAAATTTTGAATTAACGCACAATACAAAATCTGCAGACTTCCACGTTATCACATTTGCAGTTATGAGTAATTGCACCCTGCAGCGGTCCCCGGCACTGGACAACTTTTAATTACGTTACAAAGTGCCGACGCTCTCCTGCATAAATATCTGGGTTTGAGTCCTTGGATTCGTTCTGTGGCTTTGGCCTTTCCAAATCATCGTGTTTATTAGTCCTGAAAGATAAAGTCTCACCACGGTATTTGCGGACGCTGCGGATTATCCTTTGTGCTATATGATAAGGAATTCAAAAATATTGTCTTGTAAAGCCGGAGCGTGCTTACGGCAGCTGGAGGGAAGCAAGGGAGAACAAATCTGATTGGGAATTGGAAAAGGAGGAATTGAATGGTTGCGGTTGTGCTCAGGACTTTCAGACCCTGCAGTGCTTTGGAAAGATGAAATGTTTTCGTACAGTATTTTTCCTTGGAGATGAATGTGAGGTAGATGGTACAGATCCTGGGCTGGGTTTGGTCTGGACTATACCCACTGGGGGATTTAGCCTGCTGTAAAATTGTTGATTTTGAGCTCCCCCCTGGACTGCCACCTTAACGTGGTGGGGGAGTTTGAGTACTCAGATGATCCTGGGAGCTATGCTGTCTGGGGCTTCATGCCCCTGGTAGGGCCTCCCATGGCAGACAGGTCTCAGGTGACGAGTCAGACAAAGAGCAGTCCAGAAGACACCATGGACAGCACTAACACGAAAACAGTGACGTCGCCCGGCATGGCGCAGCCGGGGCCCCACCCTGGAGCCAGGCCTGGGGTCGGGGCCCGTATGCGAGCGCCTGGTGGCCGGGCCTTAGCCCACGGGGCCCGGCCGGGCTCAGCCCGAAGGGATGACGTGGGCAGTCCCTCCTGTGGGCCCACCACCTGCAGAGGGGTCCGTGGTGAAGCGGTGCAGAGAGGACTGGGCGGCAGTCGAAGGCGGAGACCTCGGCGACCCAGTCCGCACACACAACATCTGGCTCTTGGGACGTGGAATGTCACCTCACTGGGGGGGAAGGAGCCCGAGCTCGTGGGGGAGGTTGAGCGATACCGACTAGAGATAGTCGGCCTCACCTCCACACACAGCTTGGGCTCTGGAACCCAACTCCTTGAGAGGGGTTGGACGCTCCACTTTTCTGGAGTTTCCCGCGGGGAGAGGCGGCGAGCTGGGGTGGCCATTCTCATTGCCCCCCATCTCAGCCGCCACGTGTTGGAGTTCTCCCCGGTGAATGAGAGGGTCGCGTCCCTCCGCCTCCGGGTGGGGGACAAGTCTCTCATTGTTGTGACGGCCTACGGGCCTAACAGCAGTGCAGAGTACCCGGCCTTCTTGGAGTCCTTGGGAGGGGTACTGGACGGTGCACCGCCCGGGGACTCCGTTATTCTCCTGGGGGACTTCAACGCCCATGTGGGAAACGCCAGTGACACTTGGAGAGGGGTGATCGGGAAGAACGGCCCCCCTGATCTGAACCCGAGCGGTGCTCAGTTGTTGGACTTCTGTGCCAGTCACGGTTTGTCCATCACGAACACCATGTTCGAGCACAAGGGTGTCCACCAGTGCACGTGGCACCAGGACACCCTAGGCCGGAGGTCGATGATCGACTTTGTTGTCGTATCATCTGACCTTCGACCGCGTGTCTCGGACACTCGGGTAAAGAGAGGGGCGGAGCTGTCAACCGATCATCACCTGGTCGTGAGTTGGATCCGCTGGCAGGGGAAGAAGCCGGTCAGACCTGGCAGACCCAAGCGTATAGTGAGGGTCTGCTGGGAACGTCTCGCTGAGCCCCCTGTCAGACGGACTTTCAACTCACACCTCCGGGAGAGTTTCTCCCAGGTCCCGGCGGAGGAGGGGGACATGGAGTCCGAGTGGACCATGTTCTCTGCCTCAATCGCCGATGCGGCGGCTCGTAGCTGTGGTCGCAAGGTCTCTGGTGCTGGTCCCGGCGGCAACCCCCGAACCCGGTGGTGGACACCGGCAGTAAGGGATGCTGTCAGGCTGAAGAAGGAGTCCTATCGAGCCATGATGGTTCGGGGGACTCCTGAGGCAGCTGTCCAGTACCGGCAGGCCAAGCGTGCCGCGGCCCGGGCTGTTGCAGAGGCAAAAACCCGGGACTGGGAGGAGTTCGGAGAGTCCATGGAGCATGACTATCGGTCGGCCTCGAAGAGATTCTGGCAAACCATCCGGCGCCTCAGGAGGGGGAAGCAGTTCTTTGCCAACACCATGTACGGTGCGGGTGGAGAGCTGCTGACCTCGACTGGGGATATTGTCGGGCGGTGGAAGGAATACTTTGAGGTTCTCCTCAATCCCCCCGTCACGTCCTCTGTTACAGAGGCAGAGGCTGAGGATGTTGGGGCGGGTACATCCATCTCCCTGGCTGAGGTCACCAAGGTGGTTGGTAGCCTCCATGGTGGCAAGGCTCCGGGTGTGGATGAGATCCGCCCTGATTATCTAAAGTCTCTGGATGTTGTAGGACTGTCTTGGCTGACACGTCTCTGCAACATCGCGTGGCGATCGGGGGCAGTGCCAATGGAGTGGCAGACCGGGGTGGTGGTCCCTCTCTACAAGAAGGGGGACCGGAGGGTGTGTTCCAATTATCGTGGGATCACACTCCTCAGCCTCCCCGGTAAGGTCTACTCCAAGGTACTGGAGAGGAGGTTACGGCCGATGGTCGAATCTCGGATCCAGGAGGAGCAGTGTGGTTTTCGTCCCGGTCGCGGAACACTGGACCAGCTCTATACTCTCCATCGGATACTCGAGGGTTCATGGGAGTTCGCCCAACCTATCCACATGTGCTTTGTGGATTTGGAGAAGGCGTTCGACTGTGTTCCCCGGGGTGTCCTTTGGGGGGTTCTCCGGGAGTACGGGGTCGGGGGTCCTCTGCTGAGGGCCATCCGATCCCTGTATGACCGGAGCCAGAGCTGTGTTCGCATTGCCGGCAGTAAGTCAGACCTGTTCCCGGTGAATGTTGGCCTCCGACAGGGCTGCCCTTTGTCACCGGTTCTGTTCACTGTATTTATGGACAGAATATCTAGGCGCAGCCAGGGGTCGGAGGGGGTCCGGTTCGGAGACCACAGGATTTCATCTCTGCTGTTTGCGGACGATGTTGTCCTGTTGGCTCCAACGAACCAGGACCTGCAGCATGCACTGGGACGGTTTGCAGCCGAGTGTGAAGCGGCTGGGATGAGAATCAGCACCTCCAAATCCGAGGCCATGGTGCTCGACCGGAAAAAGGTGCCTTGCCCTCTGCAGGTGGGTGGAGAGGTCATTCCTCAAGTGGAGGAGTTCAAGTATCTCGGGGTCTTGTTCACGAGTGAGGGAAGAATGGAGCGTGAGATTGACAGGCGGATCGGTGCAGCGTGCGCAGTTATGCGGTCGCTGTATCGGACCGTTGTGGTGAAGAGGGAGCTGAGCCGAAAGGCAAAGCTCTCGATTTACCGGTCAATCTTCGTTCCCTCCCTCACCTATGGTCATGAGCTTTGGGTAATGACCGAAAGAACGAGATCGCGGATACAAGCGGTCGAAATGAGCTTCCTCCGCAGAGTGGCTGGGCGCTCCCTTAGAGATAGGGTGAGGAGCTCAGTCACACGGGAGGAGCTCGGAGTAGAACCGCTGCTTCTCCACGTCGAGAGGAACCAGTTGAGGTGGCTCGGGCATCTGTTCCGGATGCCTCCTGGACGCCTCCCTGGGGAGGTGTTCCGGGCACGTCCCACCGGGAGGAGGCCCCGCGGAAGACCCAGGACACGCTGGAGGGACTATG